TTCGAACAGTCTATCTATCTATCTATCTATCTATCTATCTATCTACCGATCTCTTTCCAGAGCCATGAAGAACAGCATATTCTTACCCTCCCACTCCAGGTCGTTGCCGTTGGTAATGAACTCAAGCGAATCTGTCTCATCGGGCGTCTCGATATCATCCACGTTAATATCCAGATCATCAGGCGTATCCAGGAAGTCATCGGAGAGCAAGGACCCTTCGCTCTGGTCCAACGACAAGTTCATATCCGGGGCCACCAGCGTGCGACGCTTCCGGTGAGCTCCGCCCCCTCCGGCTCCACCAATGAGAAGAGAGTTTGGGGGAGCTGAGCCAATAACGATACGATTTGCATTACACAAATGCAAATTACTCATTTAAGAAGAACATGAAAAAAAGTCACTTACAAGTCCTCCCCTCGTTCAGGGCGCAGGAAGAGTCCATGTCACCCTCTGCAGGAAGTGGCCTAGCGAGGAAAAATTTTCAATTCACTTAAAATGACACAAATTTGTGCAAATAATGTTTCATGTAAGAAAGAAAGTCCTACGTTTGTGTTCAAAGAAAGTCATACAATTTTGGAAGAAAATGAGGGTGAGTAAATGACAAAATTGTAATGTTTGAGTGAACTGCTTCTTTAAGACTGGAGCATATTGTGATATGCTAATTAGCGAGTAGGCCCTCGGGGTCGTTGCACACGTAGCTGACAAATAGAGGGGGTTGTCAGAGCTTAACTCACAGCTGTCAATGTGTCCCCATGAAATGCACATTTTAAACGACAACGACAAACCAGAAGCCTTTCGAAAGACTGTTATTAGCATCAACAAAGCAAAACATACTACAGATGTGCATAATAATATTGCATATTAATACTAACAGATGCAAATAAATCTATGAATCACAGCCATGTTATTTTTCACAACAACAGCTTCCCTGTGGAGATTTATCCAATTTCTATTGACTCTGTGGGTGTTTGGTATTAAACAATAATACAGTATTAAAACCCATTTTAATCAATACAAACATAATAAAATGGATGATTTTAGCATGCTTTAGAAAACAAACAAAGCAAAAACGCCCAATCAAAGCTGCTCTCGCTTACCTGCTGCGTCAGACGTACAAGGTTTCTGGCTGCTTTCTGATTCTGCGAGTTCTTACTCCACGCTAGCATGAAATCTCATGGTCTTAACGCTGTTTAATATTTCAAAAGCATCATGCTGTCGTGTGATGCTGGAGCTGCTCCTCTATGCCTGACCTGCCTCCATTTTCCTGGTGATGCTGCTTGTGTTGTTGGCAGCTTGCTGCGTCACATGACGTGGCTGCTTTCCATTCAAGGAGAGAGCTGCACCTGCTCCCGTCTCCGTCCAGCATCTCACTCAGATGCTCTTTTCCTTTTTTTTTTTTAAAGCCTGTATCTATCTGTAAGCCCAGTGTTGCCTTCAAACTTCAAGTTTGTTTTGAAGAACCTTCTTTGCTTTGGGGGGGGGGGGTTATTACATTCAATTCAGACTGGAATCATTTACCAGAATAAACACTTTAATGCATCAGTTTCTTCACATTTCATGCCTCCCACAAACGCATATGATGTATTTTACAGCACACCCAGTTGAAAAAAACAGCATATGTTGGTTAGGTATGTTTTGACGCTGGGCTGCTGGTTTAAGATGGTCCTTTGCTGGTTTAAGCTGGCCCTTTGCTGGTTTAAGCTGGCCCTTTGCTGGTTTAAGCTGGCCCTTTGCTGGTTTAAGCTGGCCCTTTGCTGGTTTAAGCTGGCCCTTTGCTGGTTTAAGCTGGCCCTTTGCTGGTTTAAGCTGGCCCTTTGCTGGTTTAAGCTGGCCCTTTGCTGGTTTAAGCTGGCCCTTTGCTGGTTTAAGCTGGCCCTTTGCTGGTTTAAGCTGGCCCTTTGCTGGTTTAAGCTGGCCCTTTGCTGGTTTAAGCTGGCCCTTTGCTGGTTTAAGCTGGCCCTTTGCTGGTTTAAGCTGGCCCTTTGCTGGTTTAAGCTGGCCCTTTGCTGGTTTAAGCTGGCCCTTTGCTGGTTTAAGCTGGCCCTTTGCTGGTTTAAGCTGGCCCTTTGCTGGTTTAAGCTGGCCCTTTGCTGGTTTAAGCTGGCCCTTTGCTGGTTTAAGCTGGCCCTTTGCTGGTTTAAGCTGGCCCTTTGCTGGTTTAAGCTGGCCCTTTGCTGGTTTAAGCTGGCCCTTTGCTGGTTTAAGCTGGCCCTTTGCTGGTTTAAGCTGGCCCTTTGCTGGTTTAAGCTGGCCCTTTGCTGGTTTAAGCTGGCCCTTTGCTGGTTTAAGCTGGCCCTTTGCTGGTTTAAGCTGGCCCTTTGCTGGTTTAAGCTGGCCCTTTGCTGGTTTAAGCTGGCCCTTTGCTGGTTTAAGCTGGCCCTTTGCTGGTTTAAGCTGGCCCTTTGCTGGTTTAAGCTGGCCCTTTGCTGGTTTAAGCTGGCCCTTTGCTGGTTTAAGCTGGCCCTTTGCTGGTTTAAGCTGGCCCTTTGCTGGTTTAAGCTGGCCCTTTGCTGGTTTAAGCTGGCCCTTTGCTGGTTTAAGCTGGCCCTTTGCTGGTTTAAGCTGGCCCTTTGCTGGTTTAAGCTGGCCCTTTGCTGGTTTAAGCTGGCCCTTTGCTGGTTTAAGCTGGCCCTTTGCTGGTTTAAGCTGGCCCTTTGCTGGTTTAAGCTGGCCCTTTGCTGGTTTAAGCTGGCCCTTTGCTGGTTTAAGCTGGCCCTTTGCTGGTTTAAGCTGGCCCTTTGCTGGTTTAAGCTGGCCCTTTGCTGGTTTAAGCTGGCCCTTTGCTGGTTTAAGCTGGCCCTTTGCTGGTTTAAGCTGGCCCTTTGCTGGTTTAAGCTGGCCCTTTGCTGGTTTAAGCTGGCCCTTTGCTGGTTTAAGCTGGCCCTTTGCTGGTTTAAGCTGGCCCTTTGCTGGTTTAAGCTGGCCCTTTGCTGGTTTAAGCTGGCCCTTTGCTGGTTTAAGCTGGCCCTTTGCTGGTTTAAGCTGGCCCTTTGCTGGTTTAAGCTGGCCCTTTGCTGGTTTAAGCTGGCCCTTTGCTGGTTTAAGCTGGCCCTTTGCTGGTTTAAGCTGGCCCTTTGCTGGTTTAAGCTGGCCCTTTGCTGGTTTAAGCTGGCCCTTTGCTGGTTTAAGCTGGCCCTTTGCTGGTTTAAGCTGGCCCTTTGCTGGTTTAAGCTGGTCCTTTGCTGGCTTAAGATGGTCCTTTGCTGGTCCTTTTGCTGGTTTATGCTGGTCCTTTTCCAGAACATGACCAGCATAAACCAGCAAAGGACCATCTTAAACCAGCAGCCCAGCGTCAAAACATACCTAACCAGCATATGCTGTTTTTTTCAACAGGGCAATGTGAACGAATTTTGAAATTTGATGCAGAAAATGTAGTAAAGTTCAACCATTCAAAACCAAATCATCAATGTCTATGGTGGACACATGGATTTTTCAAAAGAATAAAAGAAAAGGTGCATGGTTACCTGGGAAAATCCTTGTCCAGCCATTCGTCTCTCGCCTCTATGATCTCCATCAGCGGGCCGAAGTCAGCACTGCCCATGCTGAAGAAACCTGGACCTGAGAAAACAAAGTCAAATCCTCTCCTGGAGAGTTTAATCCCCAAAAGTCAGGGCATACCAGAAGAATTTGGATTAATGGGAAAAATTATTTTAATCCCTCTTTTAATCCCTGACTGAAGTGGCCTTTGCTTTAATGTGGGGATAATTCCCTTTTGTTCACTTTTGAATTGTCTTTTTGAATTACGACTATTTTTGTCCGAACATTGGAAGAAATTGATAAAAAAGCAAAAAAATCAAGACATTAACTGAATTATTATAGTTAATTAAAAGTAAGACTGGAGCATACAATTAAACTAAAAACAATTAAAAGACAGTTTCATTACTTGAAATAAAAGAAATAGTAAGAATAAATGTGATAAAATATAAAATAAATATTTACATATTTACATAAAATAATATTTATATAAAATAAATTATAGCATATAAAAATAGTTTTTTTTTATGTCAACTAGTTGCCAAAGCAACATTTATTATTTTAATTTAGTTTAACTTGATGTACTAAATTGACTAAAACTAATAACAACTGAATAAACATATTCAAAATAAAACAAAAACAGCTAAAACTATTAAAAAACTGAATTTAAAATAAATATAATAAATAAAAAATCATTCAAAATATGAAGATTATAATAGCACCTCAGAGATACTACAATAAAACTGCTGTATTTGGAGTCTAAATGTTATATATTGAATATTAAATTCAATATTACATTGAAACGTCATGCTGGTGATGGCTTGAAAGCACAAATTTTTCTTCACAATTTTTCAATTTTATTTTATTTTTTTAAACTCAACAAATCTAGCTAAATTCAGTCTTTGATAGATTAAAATAATAGCAATACGTTATTAAGCCGCTCTTACTCGGATCGGATTATTCCTGGTAGGGTTGGACGATATGGCAAAAATTTATATCACGATATATTTCTTAATTTCAGTCGATACGATATAATTCCGATAGCGATATAAACACTATTAAAAAAAGCCTCGTAAAAACTGCCAAGAGTGCCACAACAGATGTCTGTGCATACAAATTTATGAAAAATGTATTTGCCAAGTCTCTGACACCTCATATAAAACCATATATTTTAGAAGGGAAAAAATCTGTTTTAAATATTGATAATTGGCATATTAGAATGATTTCTGGATCATGTGACACTGAAGACTGGAGTAATGATGCAGAAAATTCAGCTTTGATCACAGGAATAAATTACATTTTAAAATATATTCAAATAAAAAGCAGTTATTTTAAATAGT